TTCACTTTGATTGTTGAGCGAAATGAATGAGAAATTAACAGAAGAGAACACTTTCGGTGATAAAAGCTATGAGAGCGACTGTAGCAACAAGGGAAAGAATGAAAACCCTGTTAAGACGAATGAAAACCCTATTAGACCGGGACAAGCTGGTGATACTGAGAAGATGGGAGAATGAAAACCATCTTTAGGCTTTCTTGCGAACTCAGTTTCAATATCAANTCTCATAGATCGACATGGTTTGAAATCATCAAGTATCCTTCATAACCATGTCTGAATCCTTTCAGGTGGGATGCATTATCTGGAGAGAAATGTGAATGCTCGATTCCGATGTTTGCTTGACAACACATGCGGATTTTTGGTACGTTTTGAAATTCACCGTTCAGTTTTGTGTTTTTTAACGATTGGAATGTGTAACGCGATATCATGGTTGCATATCATTGCAGAGGATCGATATCCGCGGTAAGCTGATGTCGCTTCATGGTTTACCGCAATCGTATGTAATCGGACGTTCCGATACAAACTCCTCAGGCAATACAGTGCTGGGTCTTGTGGCTATTTGCAGGTCAGATTGCACCTCATATTATCTTCCTTATTTTCCTGAGCGTGAATGATCGAAAATGCAGTCTGATATTTGAGCATATAAAGTAGAGTTCCTTAGAGTCAGCTTGAATGCTCATTGGTGTCTGATCGATAATGGTGGATCATTCTTAATGTTATCTGACTTTATCAGTTATCAATTATTTTTTTCCATTTATTATGGTCAATTTGAACTGTGGAAGCGCAGTCATATCTGATCGGAATTCTGTGTATAATCCAAATTGCATTCCAGCCCATTTGTGCCACCGAATGTCATTGATCAACCAAGTGAGGATCCTATACTCAAAACCAAGCATTCGTTAGATTTTACGCTCATTTCTATGGATAATCGTGTCAGGTTAATCTTTATCGTAATGACTGTTTTTTTAATAGTTTCCTACTGCTTGGAATCAGTAATACTTCATCAATTTGTTCAAATTATTTTAATGTTCGATGAATTTTTGCTGTTTATGTGATCATAGAATGAGACGTAAACAGCCAGCTACAGATTCGATTTGTTTATATTTCTGATTGAACTATCCAAGTTTCGATGGAGTTTTCTGAAAGAGGAACGAATGTGAATAGAGATTTGTTATTGTTAGATCGAAGCCAAATCATAAACTTGCTCAGGCTTAGCAACACCATTGATAATGGTACACCATTCGATCTCGAGCAAAACATGTACTCCTCAACCCTTTCTATTAAATTTATATACATATAATTTTCATGATATCCTATTGGATTTTAAGGTCGATGCTTGAACTCGACGATAAGCATCTACCGATGAGTTTCTACAGTCTTGTGCATGTTGGTGACGCACTCTGCTTAGCTGAAGCTCATAAAGAAGGTGGTTACGATCTATTTTAATTCCAAATTCATTGCACTTCATTTTCATTATTCGAGGGTTCAGTTGTGAAATATGTTCAGTTCTGTGCAAGCTTCACTCTTAAAAATTCAGTCGAATACCATTATTGTTGTGAATTCGATTATCAACTCCAAAACGCGATAGAAATCTATTGGCTTTTTACAAATCTCTATTACTGCTTAGCTCAACTGTCCTCTTTGTAAAACTTGGACCAGCATGATATGTTCAAGATATGACATTTTCTATATCAAGATATCCTATCTCTCAATCACCAAACAAAACTTTCACAATAAATTTGGCTAAAACATCAATTCATTGTCATTTTTTGCAGTGGTAAAGAACAGTGCGAGTGGTCTTTTGATCTATCGTCTTATCAGTGTACGCTCGAAACGAATCTACTGGATTCAGAGTAGTTGTCGTATGTTCTACAAAAACGGTAAACCGGAATCCATTGGTCTTACACATCGACTTCTGACGTTAGTTTCATTTTCACATCAACTTTTCCGAACATTTTCTAATCTACACAAGTTAACGGCAGCAAACTACTAACTAAAGGCCATATAAAACACAAGCGATAGTAACCAGTCACTGTCATCCAATGTAATTCAATGACCAAACAATCTTGCTGCTATCTTCTTTCAATTTGATTGAAGTTTCGCTTGCTGCAGATGATTACGGAAGATATTATGAGATCTAGTGATTGTGAGCACTTTTCAAAAAACTGTTAATGTACATGAATTGCTGTGTAATTTGACCGTTGTATATGAGTACTATGCTAAATTGATAATCAATTTAAGCGAGGTGGAAGGTACAATGCTACTCGAGAAACGCGCATCACTGAAGGCTAAATTGCTCTCATTCGACGATTCCCTTCTGCAATCACCACGGAATCTGCAGTCTACAGCCGCATTGCCTTCTTCTTCATCTACAGGTATTAACAGTGGTGATAATGATAATGATGATCGAGAATGGCATTGATAATAATGATAGTGGTGAATGACACTTGTTCTAAGGACTGATAATCGCAACGATAATGATATCACAATCAATAAGTGATCAACAGTGATCAATAGTGATCAGCACAGAGAACAATAATGGATATTTCTGCGATTTCAGTAGCTGTAGCAGCTCTCCCGGTAATGCCGCAACCAAATACGCTCACCGGTCTAGCCATGAAACTGGCCAATAGCGACACATCATCTACAGTATCCTCAGCGTCCAGTGCAATTCCAGCTTATATAGCGCAAAATCCATCATCAAGGTAAACAGTACTCATAACTCACTCATAATCGAGATGCTCATCTAAGTATCAATCAAGCAGCGAAGATCACGCACTCAATCGAATTTCCTGAAAATCGAGCAATTTTTTTTCAGTGATTCGGCACCACCCGTTTTAATGCGTCCCTCGGCGCTGCCCACCGCCCGGAATACGGCGGTCGCTACACGTGCTACAACCTCGTCGAATCGGGGTCGTAAAAAGAAACAACGTCATGCAGCAGCAGTAGCAGCAGATCAACACCCCTCTCAACACCATCAACCCTCGACACCAGCAACGGTGCATCGTCCCACACTCCCTTTCAGTGCTCAGCAACTGCCATTCGGTATTTTAACACACGAGCAACAAGCAGTTAGTTTCATTTGATTGTTGGATGTGCTCTGAAAAATAAATCTTGTTGAACTGATGCACAGCAAAACATGACTGATCACTATCTGAAACACAACCCTTACAACATGCTTGCGCTCATACAGTTGACAGCAATACAGCAATGCATTAAACATCATTTGCTGCCTGAATTTTTACGTCTTGATTTCGCTTCATCATCTCCTCATTTACCTGCTCATGGAGAATAATTTTCTGATGAGTTTCATGCTAGCAAAGTTTTCAGTTCGATCACCAGTAGTGAATAGCTAACAGTAGGTAAACCAAAAGCTTGTGAAAATCGCGACTTCTGACTATTAAAATTGTTAAATACCAACTGAGCGCTTGAAGTCAGTTTCATTGCTTCATGGATTTCCGTGATCAGAGTTTATCGTTTAATCTATTGAAATCAGTTGATAAGTTGATAAAAATTTCAGGAATCAATCCTAACAGATGCCAGTCATCAGCCCAACTTATTAGATTATTACCAGCAACAGCAACAACATCATCACCAGCAAGCTCAACAGCAGATCATTTCATCAGATGAGCATCAACAGCATCTGATCGCTGCTGCGGCTGCGTATGTTGGTGCCAATAATATGACCTCAGGCTCAGCACCTCACTCCATTGATCCTCAACTCACAGCGCTCACTTCTCACGCTAATCCCCCCACCAGTACATCGGCCATTCACGGCTTATTGCATCTACCTCAGGTTATTCTGCGATTATTTTCAAACTCACACTAACGCAGATCGTACTAACGCTGAGCTGAATTCTAGAAACCAGAAACTTTATTTCTGTTAACAGTGATGTTAATAAAAAATAAAGTTGTGCAATACGAACCTATGCTACCATAGCAACCATGAACTGAATTTTGCAATTGTACCACTAGAGTAGAGGGCTTTCGATTGATTGTTTCATGTGATCAGATGCTAATTGGCGTTTGATGGAAAGGAAATTATGACTGTTGCATAAATTTTTCGAGTTATAATGAAATTCTATAATACGATGTGATCTTGACTCGAACTAACGCGTTTACGTTCGATTTGCAGGATTTTACGACCAATTTCCCGGCATTATCTGCATATCTGTCTCCTGATGGCATGAACGCGGCTGCGGTGCCTTCGGATGCAACGAATCCCTCGTATTGGTCACCGAATAAGCCACCGACCTATTGGCCGACACCATCTGATTTGTATTATCAGAACTATCCGGGCGCTGCTGCTGCTGCTAACAGTGAGTTAATACATAGCGTTCGATGTGACTGATTTGTGGCTTTTTTTTCCGCGTAATATTATTTCATTTTGGGACATTGATCGTGACACCACAAACTCTTTTGAATGATTGTGAGAAAGGAGCGTGAAAAATAATTCTTTTTTTTGGATTCATGATAGCGATTCAGGTCAAAGGCAGTTTCAGCGGCACATTGCGTTCACGCTGATTTTTTCCACTCAGTACGAGATGCTCTTAATAACCGAATACTTCAGTTTCTAGTCTCAGC